ATGCGGGACTCGATCCCAGGACTCCAGGACCATGACCTGAGCCGAAGGCGGTCGCTCAACCAACTGAGCCACCCAGGCGCCCAAGACAAAATTTCTCTTAACAGTGAGATTCCCAAATGAATTATCTCACCTCAGTCTGTCTCCTGAACCCCAGATCTGTGTTATCTGTCTTCTTGAATACTTCAATGTATTAGTCAGCTCAGGCTGCCATAATAAAATATCATAGACTGGGTGGCTTAAACAACAGAAATTATTTTCTTAGAATTCTGAAGGCCAAAAGTTCAAGATCAGGTTGCAGCATGGTTGGATTCTAGTGAGAGTTCTTCGGGGCTCACAGATAGCTGCCTTCTCACTGTGTCCTCTCACGTCAGAGATAGCAAGCTTTCTGGTGTTTTTTCTTAGAAGGTCACTGATCCATTCATGAAGGCCCCACCCTGACAACCTCATTTAAACATAATTATCTCCCCAAAACACCATCTACAAATACCATACATAAGGGGTTAGTGCTTCAACATACAAATTTGTGGGGAAAGGGGTCCAGTTCAGCCCATAGCACTCTAGAAGCTTCAGATCAACATACCCAAATCTTGGATTTTTCTCTACAATTTTGTCTCTCCTTTTTTATTCCAAACAAAACTCTCTCTTTAATGACACCAATACCCAACCAATTACCCAAAACAAAATCATTTCTCACTTCATCTCATGTATACCCTTCTCATACAGATTCAGTATATAATCAAGTCCTACCTCTAGAAGCGCTTTGTCATTCATGGCTTTCTATCCATTCCCATGGTTGCTGTCTTGCTTTGGAAGTTCATGAGCTCATGTATGAAATAGTGCAACAGCTTTCCAACTGACCCCTATTCTACCAGTGCCCTACCTTTCAATCTATCCCCACACAGCCTCCAGAAAGATCTAACATGTAAATCAAGTCATGTACTTCCGGCTTGGAATTTTTTTTTATAGCTCCTCACTACCTTTAGTATAATTTTTAAACTTTCTTCTGGGATATATAAGGTTCTTCTCAACCATTTTTACCTACCTTATGAGTCATATCTTTCCTCTCCCACCTCTCACTCTACACTCTCCGGCCGTAACAATCTCCTTGCAATTCCACAAATTCACTATTTCCTTTGTGACTTTTCTTATGCTATTTATTTTCCTTGAGTGGCTCCTGCTATTTTCTACATCCAAGAGTCTCCCTTTGCTTTCTGTCTTAAGACTCATCACAAAAGTCACTTACTCTGTGAGGTCTTCCATGATTTCCTTTGGTGTTCTCCTCTGGGTTTCCATAGCAACTTGTATCTCTGTTGGTTATAGGACTTACCATATTATACTTTATCTATTTGAGAGGCGCTTACCTTTCCACAAGACCATTATCCACAAGACCATGCTGCCTCCATCATGGCCCTGCTTCTGACTATGGCTACAACTCTAAACAGATTATTCTAGGACCTCCTTGGACACAGCACAGCCACTGACCATAATTTTTAAACTTTAATCAACCTGCTGCCTCAGGGAGTTCTAGAGAGTACAAAGAAATTGTAGGTTAGGAAGCGTGTAAGGAACTGCCTGATTGTAAAATGGTAGAAATCGCTGGTGAAGCTTACTCAGCCACAACTTCCATTCCTTCAAAATGAAGATCTGGTACCCAGTCAAGGATTTGGGGAAATACTTTGGAGCAGAAGTGCTGCAAAGGTCTTGAGGAGGCTGAAGAAGAGGAAGAGAGACAGGATTCCTACAAAGAGAGGAGGAGGGGGGAGTGGAGACACCATGGGGTTCAAGCTGCCAGAACGATGGCCCCATCACATAGCACAGCACTGAAAAGGACACCTGTAGCAAAAGTACGTATCACACTAAAAGAGTCCTGCTGCCCTCATTTTATCTGTTGGATCCCTGCTGCTCACTTTCCTTGGGTTTTTCTCTCAACCATGGACGCTGGATAAAGAGAAGTAAAAAGGCAAGACATAGTTCATAGGTTGTAACATAAAGACAGACTTTCTGGTGCTTTTGGCTAGGAGACAGACAGGAGTCTGAGCCTTTCAAGAGTGGATGTGAAAGTGGTTAGAAAGTTGATATTTTAATGGTTACCAGATGGCTTTGTGTTTCCAGGTTGAAATGTGGTGAGAGTCCCAGTCTCAATCATTTATTTATTCACTCAACAATTTTGAGACACGGAACGTATATGCTGCCCATGACTATGCCAATAAAAGCCCTTTGGATCATATAATCTGCATTAGAATCTTGCCATAGCCTCTCACTGGAATAAACTGAGTCTTTCAGTACAGAAAGGTTATAAAACTGTTCTGGAATGTCATGATTGTTCTGATACTAGGAATATCTTATAGTTACAAATTCAAGTGTGTGGTGAAAGTATGCATGGTTAGAAAAATTTTAGTCCAGATAAATGGATAAACTCTTCATAATACTCTTTTGATAAGAACATTTAAATTCTGCCCCCTCGGGGCGCCTGGGTGGCTCAGTCGGTTAAGCGTCTGCCTTCGGCTCAGGTCATGATCTCAGAGTCCTGGGATCGAGCCCTGCACTGGGCTCCCTGCTCGGCGGGAAGCCTGCTTCTCCCTCTCCCACTCCCCCTGCTTGTGTTCCCTCTCTCGCTGTGTCCCTCTCTGTCAAATAAATCAATAAAATCTTAAAAAAATAAATAAATAAATTCTGCCCCCTCAATTCTATTGCTGATATAAGCTCCAATATACTTTCACTCTGAAATTTTTTATCAGAAACTTTTCTTTTTTTACCAATTAAATTTCCAAGATAGTTAAGAAATAAATTAACTCCTCAAACTTCTAAAATGATAGTCAGCTAAAGATTATCAGGTTTTAGGCAACATCCAATTCATTGAGGTTAGTCAAGCGCCTTGCAACTTCCTGAGTGAGGCCAAATTGATGACATGATGACATTTCATGTTGAGAAACTTCCGTTACAAGCCCAAATTCTGAGAAAAATAATATGAAGAAATTTTAGATACTCTGTCACACCACACACGCACACGCTTCCATCCCCCCACACCAACAAAGAAAACTGTATAACTAATCCGGATGCACACTTCAAGTACTCCTTCATAAAGTGGGAAGTCATGCTAGAATTACGTAAAGGTTGAGAGAAAAATGAATAGAACTAAATATAGGTAAAAGAACAGCAGTTTCTAAATTTGACCAGGTTTTCTGGCTACAGAAATAAGATAGAAGTAACCCTTACTTTAGCCTACCCCCTGTCCTACTGTTGAATTCATCTGATCACACCCAGTGTTGACCCAGAGGTCCTGGTTTGAGGACTATGTGACTTTGGGTAAGTCACTTATCCTCTGGGCTTAGGTTTGTTTGTGGGTTTTTTTTTTCCTCTATGAAATACAAATAACTGTAATACTAACATTTCATGTACCTGTTCTGGTTAAATGAGATAATGTATGTGAAACACTGAGCACAGTGCATGCAGTGTGCATAAAAACTGGTATCTGAACACAAAATGAAAGCAGGGCACATGCTACCAGAATATAGGCATGGGCTCATGGTGACTTGAAATTCTTCAGACACAGATAGTCTGAGGGCTGGGACAACTGTGCTGTGAATCAGCTGGTTTAATGGAACTTCCCAGATAAATGACCATTCTGCCACGACTGAATATTCCTTTGTCAAGTTCTGACAGTTTAGAAAGAGGCTATGTTGCATTTAGCTTTGTTTCCTCACTCTTGGCACATAATAGGAATGATCATTTTTGAAGACTGGATGATTGAATATATAAATAACTGCCTGTATTAATGAATGAAATCAAAGAAAGATCTGAGGTCATTACTCCTAATACAGCACCTTGGGCCCTCCCTGGTCTTTATAATATGGAGTCACAGCGGACTGTGCTATAGCCCATATAGAAGCCCTTAGAAAGACACCTTAAATGTAGATTTTTACGTATTTACAAAGTTTATGGGCATTTAGGCAAATGATCTGCCATGGGAAAATCACAGTGCAGAGGAAAATACAAGCTTTTCATTACTCTCCCTTTCTTTCTTCATCATGCAAACTTCTCACATTTGAATTACCAACAGTCTGAGTATTAGTGTGTCTGCGTGATGTATATTATAAATTAAGAAGCCATGATGGAAAAATCTTTAAAATGGCATTAGTGTGTTCAGAGATCTCCTTTGACCTTCTGGGGTCCCTGGTGGGCCTGAAGTGCAGAGCACTGTTCCTCCATGGGAAGGAGTGGAATCCTGATGCTGAAGGCTAACGGGATCATTTTCCTCTCCGAGTTTTTGGGCACCACGCCAAGTGAATGGGCAGGAATCATTCCATTTGCAGAGTAAAATGGGGTGAAAAGCACTTCTGGCACACTTTGTCCATATAAATTATACTTGTTTGCAATTCATCAACTCCTTCTCTACTTTATACCCATATGTAATGTAAATGATCATCTTTCTCTGAAGCTCTATAATGATGCACAGCTCCAAAATGTGATATAATCAGCTAAAAGAGAGCAGATGGAAGTTTTTTCCCCAATATGCATATTCATAAAAAAAAATAGAGAACTCAACAAAAGGAGATACATCAGTACTTGTACCCAGAGGGCTGCTGCATGGACTTATGTACAAAAGTAAGTGGGTTTTCTGCAAGTATTTCATTCTGGAAACCTTTACTCATTCATTCCTGCAGCAATCATTGAAATGCTCTGGAAAAAAAAAAATCTGCCCTTCCATATAGCAACAAATATATTTCCCTTTAGATTTTTTTTACTGCACCTTAGAACCTATGATTCAGGAAATAATG